GTGGAAATGGAGATTTCACAGTATCCTTCCCCCAGGAGTGAGGAGGAAATGGGGATTTTGCAGTATCCTTCCCTCAGGAGTGAGGAGGAAATGGGGATTTTGCAGTATCCTTCCCCCAGAAATAGGGTGGAAATGGAGATTTCACAGTATCCTTCCCCCAGGAGTGAGGAGGAAATGGGGATTTTGCAGTATCCTTCCCCCAGGAGTGGGGTGGAAATGGAGATTTCACAGTATCCTTCCCCCAGGAGTGAGGAGGAAATGGGGATTTTACAGTATCCTTCCCCCAGGAGTGAGGAGGAAATGGAGATTTCACAGTATCCTTCCCCCAGGAGTGAGGAGGAAATGGGGATTTTGCAGTATCCTTCCGCTGCCACGCCACCAAGCCACCCCCACATCCACTAAGCCTCCCCCACAGAACTGGTAGTAAAAAGTTTTGAATCCCACCACTGGCTGCACCTCGCACCAACTGAAGTTTCCGGATGGTCTTCCAGGACAGCTCCAGAGAAAGTGAACTACATTAAACTGTGAGAAACAGGGAATGCAAGTTATTTCCTCTTTAACACCCAAAAATCAACCAGATCCACCGATTCGGGATGGAGCAGTCCCACCACCAGAGGTGGGTTCCTTCCGGTTTGGCCAAATAGGTAGCAACATGGCTTGCCATACCCTCAAACCGGTTCTCTCGGCGATGCCATCTTGTTTTTGGCTTCTGTGCATGCTCAAAAGCATTTTTTTTAGTACTGCGCACGCACATGAAGCGCATGGCGCTTCTCTGTGCAAACTGGCAGAGTGGCAACAGCTACCACATAGTATGGTATCTCCAACTTCCAACCAAGATACTACAGTTGTGAGTTTCAAAAGCTGTTGAGGGATCCAGCAGGACAAGGGTAGTTAGAAAACTTCTCCATGAACAAAATCCAGAGTGAAAAAACGACAACAGCAAGACGTCAATTTCTCTTATTTCTTGTTAGAACTTCAGCTGATGGCTGCTGTGTCCATTCCCAGCCACAAGGTGGAGCAAGGACAGTCCAGAAAATATTCCAGGCAAGAGAGCTGGAATGTAAATTTTGACTCCAGGACACATACCCAAATTCTTGACAACAATCATCCTTGCCCGGCAAAGAATTCTGACAATTGGAGTAATGCAAAGGAGGGAAAGGTTCATTAAACAGACAATCCACAAAGGCAACTGGCAACTTCAATTCCAAGCATTCTTGATGAAAGTCACAACAGACATCTGGCAAAAAATAAGTGTGTTTATGCAAGTGATCCTTGACTTATGACTTGTAATGGAGGCCAGAATTTCCATCGTATGTCATAGCAGTTAGACTTAGCAATAGCAGTTAGACTTATATACCGCTTCATAGGGCTTT